ACCCAGCTCCTCGCTATATTTTTAAAACCATTTTATTCCTTTTCTCTCCCAAGCCTACATATATTTTAGAACACACTGTAAACCTTTAGTGCTTTTTCTTAATATGAATCTGTCTTTACTGTAAATCTTTATCTTTTTGTAGCCGCCAGTCTTTTATCTTTTTTTTTTTGTTTTTTGTTTTTTTTTTTTTTTTTGTTTTGTTTTGTTTTTTGGTTTTTTGCCGAATAGATGTTTATTCAGAGAGAAATAACTTACAACCTAGACAGATGAACACCAGCAAGTTCCACTGGATGCTCGCCTCTCCACATCCCGCCAGCAAGAGAGCGTTTCCCACCTCCTCCTCCATCCTAGTTCCACCGGTCACTTCCCCCGCTGCTGGCTCCACCCCTAATAGGTGTGGTCAGTGCCACAGAAGGAGACAAAGTGAATATCCCACTACCCTCCCACACACACAAGTAATAATGATTGTGTGTGTGTGTGTGTGTACCACATGTACATACCTTCAGAGACCAGAAGAGGGCATCTGATCCCTTGGGGCTGGAGTTATAGGCAGTTGTGAGCTGCCCAGTATGGGTGCTGGGAACTGAATTTGGGTCCTCTGGAACTGCAAGCGCCTTTACCAACCCAGACATTTCTACAGTCCCTGCTTTCAGCTTGGATCTTTTCCCTACTCTAGCAACATAGGATGTGAGCCTCTCCCATGTGTTACCATGACAGCAGTCACCACTCACTGCATGCCATAGGACCACAGTGGGGAGCCTAAGCTCTGAAGGTACTCCAGCTGCTTGTGTATTTGGAGACAGGGATTCAATAAATTACACAAGCTTTCCCACATTTCATTAGAAATTAGGTTTTGTGTTTGGCAGTTCTACCCACTGTGGGCTAGTGTGCATCCAGAGTGCCAATCTGTGGGCTAGTGTGTGCATCTAGAGTGCCCAGCTGTGGGCTAATGTGCATGGGCTAGTATATACATCCAGAGTGTGGATAGGTCTGTTGCGTAAGCCTTGATGTTCCAGAGGTTGGGGGAATTTTAACTTGACAAAACCTTCATTTCATGATAGGATCATCAGGATGTGATAAAATCACAAGTCTCAGAGCCTTTGCACATGCCAGGCCTTGTTCTTGGTGCTGGAGAAGTAGGCATGCCCCACAGACAATTCCCCTGAAGTAAGACAGGATTTTGTGATTGTTTTATGACCACTGTGAAGGGAATGGGACAGAGTGCATACAAGATACTCACACTTAGAACACCTGGGGCTGGCCGGCTGGAGGTCACCCAAGAAATGATGTTAAAGATGAGAGTGGAAAGATAGGAGCAGCAGCACAAAGACCCAGAGGCAATACACTCCAGGCAGCATGTAACAAGGCCAGAGACTGGACAGAGCCAGTTCACCAAGATCAGAATGTCATGGTGAAGAGCTGGTCTACCCATGATGCATCAGGAAGCCAACAGAAGATGTCAGTCATGGGGTATGGTATGTGCTTCCCATATGTCACTCACACCTGTGAACTTTACCCACCCGTGTGCATGATCTCTGTTGGAGGGACTAGATGCTTGTACAGTGTAACTGTTTCGTGGATTCTTCAGGTTTATCATTTGTCTTGTGACTATGCTGGGACCACTGGTAGCCATCTTTTCCTTGGTGTTCCATTTCATGTATCTTCAAAGTGGGCTATCCTAAAACATGATTGTACTACCAAGACTTCTGGCTAGAGCTTCGTGGGCTTGTTGCCATGGCCACAGGCCTGGCCAGCTGCAATTGCTCTAAAACCTTCATTCCATGCTCCTTGTTTTTCACTGTGGGCTACACAGTGGAATCCATTGCTAAATTTTGAGCTGTGACACTTGTTGACATTTACTGAGCACTTCTTGAGTGCTGGTCACATTGGTAAACATTTTGCAAATGTGGTTTTATGTAATTCTCACAATTACCCTCTCCCCATCTTATGGCTGTAAGAGCTGTCATAATACTAGTCAGAGCCAGCCATCTCCTATGTCAGGTCCTGGCTGAAAAATCTATAGACCCCGAAGTGAATAAGAAAAGCAAGGTCCTTACTCCAGAAAGCGTCCTTTCCAACAGGAGAGAGAATGGGAGACAGACAGAGACCTGACAAGGGGACAGGAAGAGAACAATGGAAGATGTGGGACATAGTGTCCTGCAGAAGACATCAGAGATTCAGGGGAGCTCCCTGTTGGCCTGGCCTTCGAGGTGGGAAGCCTGAAAAGGTGAGAGGAAGGCATTTTGGGAGGAAGGTGCCCTTCAGACTTGACCTTGGTGGGGGACCCAACTGCAACAGTCACAACTGAGTGAGCTTCTGGGGGGGGGTGGGAAGGAATTTGTTGGTTGTGTTGAGAAGATGAGGTTTAAGAGTCCATGTGTTTCTGGGCATTTGAGTCAGTATGGGGGAGTGGCAAGGGCATTGTGTCACCTTGTGCACGTCCCACAGGAAGTGTATGGGTTTTGTCTACACAAAATTAGTGTCATAAAATGAGCAGCTCTCACATGGCACAGTGTCATGGACCAAACTCCCTTAAACTGTGTGAACATGTTGACATTTGCTAATTGGAGCTATGCACTGATCATGTAATGCTATGTGAAAATATTGGCTATCTATTTCCACCATGTTGAAACCAGGGGATTTACAGATAAATTACAAAGCCAAATCATTTTAAGGGAAGATGATCACTTACCTGTAGTGTGTCTTCCACAACAGTAAGTATTAATGCTAAGTAGCTGACTGGGTTGCACAGTAACCAGGAAGGACAGCATGGGGTTGTTAATGAAAGCAGATGCAGAGAGAGAAAACAGATCAATTGTTTGAATACAGTGAAGCGGTCCCTTTCTGATGCATGCTCTTCATTCCACTTGCTATTCTCCTATATCAGCCAAAACCAGGGTGCATTTACGATATACTTAACAAAGATTTACACCTTAGCATATAAAGAGGCTCCTTGTAAAATAATTTGAGATTATAGTTACACTATTTCCCCTTCCCTTTCCTCCCTCCAAACCCTTCCACACACCCTTCATTGTTCTCTTTCAAAGTTAGGGCTTCCTTTTTCATTAATTGTTGTTATGTGGAAGGGGAGGGGGGCATATGCACGAGTGTATGTATTCCTAAATACGTGGAAATACAACCTGCTGGGTCCATATTATCTTATTAGTATACATGTTTTCAAAACTGACATTTCGGTGTTGGTGTGCTCTTCCCTGGTAAAGACTATTTCACCTACTCTTAGCAGCCCTTAGTTGCCTGTAGTGATTTGTCTAGGGTTGCAGCCTTGTTAGCCTCACCCCCTAACCACTCTGTCCATGGCCATGGTGTCATCCTTATTGAGCTCATGTTTAGGCAGCTATGCTGCTGAGATTTTATGGGTGTAGCTTCTGACATCCCTGGAAGGCACACCTTCTCGAGAACTCCCTGTCCCTGTGGCTCTGTCCACCCCTGACCCCACAATGATTGCAGAGGTGAGGGGCTTCTTTCTTTAATGCTGCTTGTTTTCCCTTGTCCTTGTGACTGTAGTGATGGCTTCAATGAGTGAGTAACTGGCATAATGCAGTCACCTCCCTTCTTGGCTGCTTTTGTGTGGCATAATTACAACTATTACCTGTTCACACTGGTGTCTATACCACGGGGCCAACTGTCTTTTCTGGCTACGAGGTGCCTGACAATAAGCCCTCATTTTCCTCTGGGACTATATGGCTCTTTCCTCCAACAGCAGGGGAATACAGGTGATTGGTCAGTGAGGAGTTGTTGAAGTTGTTCTTTATTAAGCTGATATGTGAAACTACTGAAGAAAACTGAGAGCTTCTATCAAAAGATATTTCAAAAGTTAACAGACTACAGACAAGAAATATTTAGAACATACATAAGGAGACTGTTATGATAAAGCAAATTGTTAGATTTCTTTCTTATTATGCTACTGTTCATAGTTTTAACATTAATCAATAAAGTTTTAATAAACTACTAACCCAACTCTGAAAGAGTACAAAACACCAAACTATACCACTGAACAATAACTAAAACTCAAAATTAAGGTGTTTTTCATTGTGCTAAAGATATCTGTGTCAGTTTTAAGAGTATTAATGCTTTCAACCAAATCATTTCTGACATGAGTATACTGCCATTTCTACAACGCAAATTTCAGTACAGATCATAAACAATAGAAATGCTAATGTGTCTAAAATTTTATCTTTTCACAAAGAAATCTTGTAAATTCCAGGGAGCCAAATTGGACCCACCTGAACAGGTCTAAGATGTGCCAGAGAGTTCCATACAGCCTGGACTACAATAAAACAACCAGCTACCCCATGATATGGCAGCATCCCAGCTTTCTCAAGTCCCCCAAAGATGGTCAACGCCCCCAAGTCAGGAGGAAGTAGTCTTGAGAACTCAATGTCCTTATGCCCTTATTGCCTAATCTGCTATACCTAACTCTTTTTTTTTTTTTTTTTTTTTTTTTTTGGAAAAATTAAACTTTAATACTCATATCATTTTACAATGAAAATAGGTACCCAGAGACAGGTTTGAAATGTTTACAACTGTACAAAAGATAGAAATTCCTGGCAGGCAGTGACATTGAAGCTGGTCATAGCCCTCCTCACGCCCTAGCCTGCCAGGTAACACCTTCGGTGCCCTCAGCCTCATGAGGAGGACATGCACAAACAGAGAAAGTCCTCTCAGCCAGTGCAATTAAGAAAAAAAAAAAAAAAAAAAAAAGGTAATAGTCTAACAGGCACTAAAATGAAGTTGTGACTTTTTTAGTTTAGCATTCAAAATGTAATACTGAACCCCCCCCCCAAAAGGTAACTTAATCACACAAAACCTAACCCATTATAATCTAAAAAAAAAAAAAAAAAAAAAAAGTCAAAACTCCCCAGACAGGGAAATGATCTAAAATTTAAAACAGCCTGGGGCCCAGTTGCCTGTGGATGACAGGTGCTGGGTGGAGCACATCCTTCCATATCTGCTCAGGTACTTAGCATAGCCAGCAAAACTTGTCTTCTTGCCTTATGAGGGTCAGCAGCAGAGATGGCACTTAGGACACATTTGTCATGGGCTTGTACTTCTTGAAGCGGGTCCACTGGCCTGTGGCGTAGTTCATCTCAAACACGGTGTCCACTAGCATGGTGGTACTGCCCTGGCCGTCTGCCTTCGGCAGATCCTCTGTATGCTCGCTGAGCTTGATCTGGATCACATCCCCCTGTTCCGGGCATGGGTTCTCTCGAGAACCAGCCATGAAGCCCAGGATGAGGGCCTTCTCTGGCCGAGTGACCTTGTTTGCTGTCTTGAACATCTCCTGGGCAGCAAACATCTGTTCTCTCGTGAGGGACAGATTCTTCTTAGGCTGCTGCTGAACAGGAGCAGGTGCCTGAGTCTGTGGGGCCACTATGGCCACTGGGGGTGACTGAGCAGTAGAAGTGGCAACTGGGGGAATAGTGGGTATCAGAGGCAAGGAAGGTGCCCCAGGTGTTGGTGTAGCTGGGCTCAGGCCACTGTTGTACATAGGTGCCCTTTGTTTAAACTGAGCTAACTGAGCTGGTAGTGTAGGACTTGGGGCACTGGGCTCCTCAGGCAGTCGACTGGCTTCCCGGGAAGGAGGGGCTGGAGGGGTCTCAGAGCTGGGGATGTAAGATGAGGCAGGTACCACACTGGGGGTAGAGGGCAGGTAACTTGTGGAGGGAAGTGCTGGCTCGCTATTCAAAGACCCAAGTTTCTGTGTGGACACCAGGCCAGCAGCGTAGTCAGGGGTGGCATTTTCAACAACTGTCTCTTCCTTGGTGGGCTTTTCCACCACTTCCGTGTCCAAAGCCTTCCTCCTCCTCTTTGCCTCTCGGCCAGCACCAACCGTATTCAGTTCAGAAATATCCAGCAGCTTCACACCCCTTTCTTTCTGCAGTGGCGTTCTCGAAGGTGGTATTGGGGTCCGGTTCCCAGAGGGACTGAAGACGCTGGGGGTAGTGGGGCTTCTGAAGGGGGCTTGCTTCGGGATGCCTTTGAGAGGAGTTGTAGTGTCCATCTTGCGGAGCAGGCCCCGGCCCTTGGCGTGGAATGGCACCCCGGCGCTTCTCTTCAGCTGTTGGGCTGTCTCAGTGGATTTCTGTAGCAGCTCTGCCCGCAGAGTGGCACTCTTGGGTTTGCGCTTCAGCTGAAAATGCTTCACTGGTGGGGTGAGGGGCCCAGCGAGGGTGGTTAGGGCATTCTTGTTCAGGTACTGGCATTCCAGTGGTAGCATGGCAGATGCCTCACACTCGCCCACTTTTTCTCTAAGTTCTCCTAAGATATCTTGAACATTGGGGTTCTGCTCTTCCAGGTCTAGATTCAGTGAGCCAGTGTCAGGAAAGGACTTCAGAATGTCAGCAACCATGACGACCCAGGGGTCTGAGTCTAGGGTAGCCAGTTGGATAATATCCATCAGAGCGACCTTCATCTCGTCCACCGTGCGGCGCGGAAGGTGCAGCATCCCGAGCAGCAGCTTGAGCTTCACAGCTGATGAGAGACGGTGGAAGCAGGGGCGGATGTTATCGATGACCGCAGCGGTGAGCAGGGACGCGATGCTGGGGGGCGCCCACAGCTCGTCCATGGCTCCCAGCTTGTTGTGCAGCCACAGGCCCGTGTCGCTCTCCCGCATCGACGCCATCTTGGCGGCAGCAGCAGCAGTGTGCGTGCGCAGGCCGGCGTCTTACGCAGACGCCTACATGTCTCCAGCGAGGACCCCCAACATGGCGGCGATTCCTCACCTATTTAATAATAAAAATGGGGGATATAAGGGTTCAGGCATTATGCTGGCCTGCCCGGTCACCTGGCAGAATACACTCAGGCAGTACCCTGGTCAGCCCAGGTGCAAAGGACCCCTTTAAAAGAAACACACACACACACACACACACACACACACACAGAGAGAGAGAGAGAGAGACAGGAAAAGTCCTGTCTCTCCTTTTTTGTCCTCTCTCTGTCTCTGTGTCTCTTTAACTCTTTTCTCCATCCCCTTCCTTTCTAATAAAACTTCTCACTAAGCTCTGTCTGCCTGACATATTTGTGTCATCGTACTGTCCACACACACCTCGGTCACCCTCACCTGCCGAGGAATCCACCAAGGTTTCCCTCATAACAGAGATGGGGATCAAAAAGGAAAAAGAAAACAAATCATTAGAAACATAGACAAGTGACCAGCTTTAAGGTATGGAAATACATATGGCTGACCAAACATGCAAAGAGAGGTTCAGTCTCATTTACAACAGGAAAATGCAAATCAGTGTTAACTGAAAATTTGACAGTCTGGATTTCATGGATCATTGGTTCAACACGATCTCTAATCAATTCTGCTTTTTGTTACAAATTGAATAAGCTTAAAACCAAACCATTTCCACCATAAGCACAGACCTTACAGGAAATGTCAGAAGTAACCTACACATCTACCCACAGGAGGACCATGAAGTAAATTGTGGTATACACAGATGGTTATTTTGCATGAGTTAAAGTCAATAAACTTCAACTCCATGGATGAATTTAAGGGAACATACGTTGAAAGGGAAGAAGAAAATCTGGGGCTTCTAGAATGTACTTTTTATAACATGAAAAATTTAAACAACATATTGTTAAGCCAGGCATATATATATATATATATCTGGAAATATATATATATATATATATATATATATATATACATATATATATATGTATATGTATATATATGTATGTATGTATGTATGTTCCCAAAGAAAGAATCTCTCTCTCTCTCTCTCTCTCTCTCTCTCTCTCTCTCTCTCTCACACACACACACACACACACTCACTCACACATATACACATACACACACCAGCAGAGAGGTTGCCTCTGAGGGAAGCAAAAGAGATAAGAGGAACACACGGAGGATGGAACTTGGTGGATGTCCAGCATGCTGGGAAGGTGTCATAAACTTCCATGTAGAATTAAAAATCAGTAAATAAAATGAAAGAAGACCCACGTGTGTGAACCAACATAGTTCATTGTGTCAACATCCAAAACATTGGAAAGGTTTTATGTGGCTTGCAGTTGGAGAGAACTCAGTCTGTGATCAACTGGGGAGCAAATTTTATTTATTTATTTTGTTGTTGTTGTTGTTGTTTTTGAGACAGGATTTCTCTGTGTAGTCCTGGCTGTCCTGAAACTTGCTTTGTAGATCGGGCTGGCCTTGAACTCAGGGATCCACCACCTCTGCCTCCCAGGTGCTGGGATTAAAGCTGGGCATCACCATGCCCAGCTGCAAATGTGCCTTGTACAAATGGGCATTTATGACATGAGCACCTCCATGTCAAGGACTCTGATGCCTCGGGCCCAGGTTAGACTCAGGGGAATGGCCAGGCCTTCCCCTAGTTGGAGTACCTTTGTTGATAGTGTATGTAGAGAATATTAGTCACAGACAGCTTCCTCCTCCCAGATGACTGCAGCCTGAGGTTACTCGCCTATGGAAGTTGTCTACCACAATGTCTGCAAGCTGCCTCTTCGTGCAGCTGAATATAATACTCACTGAGTTTCCCAGCTGATGGTGCATCTCCATCAGAGTGCATTACTCACTCAATCCCAGCTTTTCCGTATGGATGTCTTTCTTTCTTTCTTCCTTTCTTTCTTCCTTCCTTCCTTCCTTCCTTTCTTTCTTTCTTTCTTTCTTTCTTTCTTTCTTTCTTTCTTTCTTTCTTTCTTTTTTCTCTTTCCCTATTGCCCCAGATAGGTCAATCACTAAGCCATGTAGACCATGTGAGCTGAGCAGCAATGGCCTCTGAATTTCTAGCCCTTGATTCTTGCACAACCCTGAACTGGGCATTCATTAGTGACTGGCAAAACCATGCTGAACCTGAATTGTGGCAAGATCTTAGAGCTTGACTGGAGGCAGGGTGTCTTTGTTTGGTTTTGTTGCTAAGAGCAACAACATAGTGTCACATAGTGCATTATGCTAACAGCATAGTGCCATGGCGTGGGTACATTATAAAGAAAAGGACTCATGGTTCTGGTCCAAGATTAAAGGCTGGTATCTTGTGGTGGCACAGGACAGCATGTGGCAACAACAGGGATGGTGCATGTGTGGGCCCTACTCCATCCCTTTTTTATAAGCAATCAAAATGACTGTATCAAATCAAATCTTTTTTTAAGATTTAATTTATTCTTAAATTATGTGTAAAGGCCAGAAGAAGGTCTTAAATCCCCTGAAGCTAGGGTTACAGGCTGTAATGAGCCACCAAAGTTGGGTGTTGTGGTCCAAACTTGAATCCTCTAGAAGAGCAGCACGAACTTTTACTCTATAAACTATCTTTCCAGCCCTGGCTGTGTCAAATCTTAACCACTTTCCAAACTCCCCTGTAAACACTGTAATGAGATTAACACAATGCAGACACACACACACACACACCAGTCACTACCATATAATTGGAGCTGAACTCCATCATTGGTTGGGGCAGAGTACCTAGCCAGGGGTAACCTGAAGAGGACAGGGCAGCTTTCAGTGGAAGTTGGGCTGTACTGTGTGCAGGAAACTGAAAGGCAAAGGTCTGATTGCAAGTAGATCTGTGCCAATGACAGAACATTGCTCGCCCAAAAACGTCTCTTGCTGGTCTTAATTCTAAAGAACTTAGTGCTGCCACTGCCCTTGTGTTGACAGTAAGTCCACAAACTCCTTGTTGGCACAGCCTCCAACCTCTTCCTTATCTGTATCCCATGTGGGAACTGGTCTGGACCACTCACAGAGGACCATCACACGTGCTCATGAGGAGAGGTGGCTGCTAAAGTCTAGGAAGTTTCACCTCCTTCAGCTGGTGGCTCCTATGTGAGTGCTCCTAAGTGAGTGCTCCAAGATTTAGTGCTCAAATTTTAGTCTATACATGATACAACTTAAAAAACTGAAATGTTATCATTAAAATTTTTTTTTCATTTTTTATTTGTTTTAAACAAGGTTTCATTTTACCCAAACATGCTATGTTGCCAAAGATAACTTTGAACCCCTAATCCCCCTGTGTCTATCTCCCAAGTGCTGGAATTACAGGGCTGTGTCACCTGACCAGCTCAATATGTATTGTCTTAATTGTCAGTAATTTCCTCTGAGGGATTATTAACAGTTATCACTTAATGTTACTAATTTCGAAACATAGACTTATTGGACTGTTAAAAGCTGGTTACAGAGCTGTAACTTAGGCTCAAGGCAGAGTACTGTCTAGCCTGTGTGAGTTCCTGGGCTCCACCCCCAGCATTGGGGGAAAAAAGGAAAGGAAAGGAAAGAAAACAAAAGGCAAATTCCTTATTGGGTACCACTGGCTGCTGGCCTGTGAGCCTGAAGCCAGGATACCAGGCATGTCTCCATCCTTCAAAATTGTGACCCCCCCCAACATGATCTGCACATGCTCGGTGTCACCCTGAGAAGCACATGTCAGTCACAGTGGGGTGTCTCAGCCTTGAACCCATCAAATGACAGGGAACCCCTTAAGCTGAGACTGTATCTGGAGAAGAGGATAACTCCTGTGCTGTGGATGGAACGATAAGTACTTAACCTAATGTCAGGCAAGAGAAAGCCAGCATCTAGAGTGGAAGTACTTCCGCTTTCTAAAAATAGCCTAATCAAATCTTCAAATAAAGGTCTAGAGAGGAACAAGGACCTGTCTAAGGTTACAGAGCAAGCCAACATGAAATCCTACGCTATGTGTGTATGCTGCAGCACCTGATTAAAGTTATGTTTGGAACCTTCTGGAACAGGACCTACATTCACCATCATCCATCCAGAAGCTGGGATAAGCATGGGTTTGAGCATTCCCATCCCTTACCCTGTCTGATTCCCAGGACCACCACCTCCTCCTCTTTCTCTTGCTCTTCCTCCTCATCTTCATCATCTTCATCCTTCTCTCCCTCCCTCCCTCCCCCACTTATCTCATTCTTTTGTTATGGTACTGAGTGGGCCCAGGGCCTTTGCTTGCTGCCAAGAGCTATACCCAAAACCTCCTCTAAAACAAAGCTCTTCCCTGAAGCTGGAGACAGGGGAAGGAGCATCATCCCCAGTGCTGGGGTCTGTCTGCAGTTCAAAGGGGCAGGAGGTACTGAGCTTGAGAGGAGGGTGGGATGACCGAGCTTCCCCCGAGTCCCACCTGCATAAGGACCAGCAACTGTGGTGTGACTACAGACTGGACCCAGACACCAGGCAGACAGAGTGAGCTGCTGCAATACATAACCAGTCAGGTGGCTTCCCAGACTGCAGCAGGGAGCCATTGTCAAATATTCCTCTAGTGGCAGAAGCCAGCCCTGTCCTGTCTCCTCACCACTAAACCCTTGGTTCCATCATGGCTGTTGGCCCCCAGTGGCCTAGAGCCCAGATTAAGATCTGGTGTATCAGAGGCTGCTGAGTATGGGGGACCCCCTGCCTAACCCTGTGCGTGTTCCTGTATAGCAACAGGAACTCATTCACAGCTCTTTGTAGCACTGACATGTATGTGTAGGTGCCAAGAGTAAAGGCAAAAGCACCCTGGAGCCTGGCCTATGTGCAGTGGCTCACCTGGTGGAGGGGTCATACCAGCTGGGAATAGTTGACTTTCCAAGGGGGCTTGATCAACTCCACCAGAGGGGGAAACTATGCTGCTGGTTTGCATTTGAGTCCAGTTTGAGGAAGAAAAGCAACACGTGCCAAGTGCAGAG